ATCTTTCGTTGGCAGCCTATCCTCTCAGGAGGGACGACTATCTTCGAAAGCCATCCAGAACCGTGACGAGCCGAGTAAAGTGGCAGAAGAGGGTAGAGCATCCGTATCCGAAAAGAAAAAGATGAAGAAGAAAGAGAAAGAAGAGGAAAGAGAAATAGATGGAAGGGAAGTGGAGACACACTGTGAAAAGAAATAGGAGACGGTTGCTATACTCCTCTTGCAGGACCTAGTTCGAGCCTTTCCTTAAAGCTTTCGATGATAGTATTAAGTTAAAGGGAGAAGGGCGGAAGCTCGTCTGAATCGAGAGGGAGGGAAGAAGAGGGAGCAAGCGCATCGAAAACCTGTGTAAACTACGCTTCCGTAAAATCGTATCGATCCCTTATCATTCTCGATGCAAACTTTATATCTGCTCGTGCGTTCCTCGCGTGGAACAAGTTGGGCGCCCGCGATGTTGGATTACCTCTCCCTCCCCCCCCCCGCCTCCCTCTTTCCCCCGTAAAAGTTTGCAGTTTGGATAGAATCGATCGAGAGGGAGGGGAAGAGTCTAAGAATCCAGAGATTCGTTCGAAGCGAGGACGCGTCGTTTTACGACTCGCGTTGTAAAGCGAAACGATCCGTTGCGTGTTGTTCCCTCCGTTCGAGGTATTTGGCAGCTTCTCTTTGGAACGATTCTCGCTCGTTCCAAAGAAAATTTCAAAAAAAAAAGAAAAGAAAAAAAAAAGAAGAAAGTCAATAGTCAGCCCGGCGCCAGGATGACTCCGCCAGGGAGAGACACAGGAGGAGTGGGTGTGCGCGCACAGGGTTGGCGACGACAATTCCACCAGGATAGCGTGAAACCGCTGTTGAATAAGGAAAGGAGGACGACGTTGGACGACGACTCGATGCTTAAACGAGCGCAGCGTGCACAAAGTGGACGTGCATTTTTAAAGAGTAACACCGTGTCGCGACACCGGCTAATTGACGGCCTACGTAACACGGTTCAAAGGGAATTTCTCAAGTTTTTTTTCTTCCGTGTAGCGTTGCGTTTCGAGGTTGTTGGAATGAAAGGAGGTTGTTGTGGACGAATCGAGAGGAATTCGAGTGATCGGTTTTAAGAAAACCTGATTAGAGAGGTGTTGTTTGGTTTGGAGATTTCGATTATTTGCGATTGTAGATGAAATTATAAAGAGAGATTTATTTGTAGAGTTTCATTCGGTGATGGGGAAAATTTACTTCCATAAGTTAATTCAATAATTCATTCGTTCAAAACGTAATAATAATTGCAAATAATTGGCAAACGGTCGAGATTATACGAGATTCGAAATTTTCAACTGGCTACTCTTTTAAAGGATTAATGTCCAATTCTGGTGCTTGGATAACAATAACGTTGAAGGTTGGAAATGTTTCTCCGAATTTTCTTCCGTTTGATTGAGATGAATCGTAAAAGGTTTATCAAGCGAGGAAACGAAGAGAGATTTAGATGAAGGAAGGGGAAGATAAATGATAGTAAAAATATAATATAGTATGACAATCTGTTGATTCGAAATGTCAACGAATAACTCGTTGATACGCATCGAAATTAAAAAACCGTAAATTTTATAATATTAACTATACGGATATTTATTATTAAACTTGAATTTTTGAAAATCCATTTTGCAATTACCCAGACTTATACAATTATTGAAATATTCGTATTGAATTGGCAACAAATAAGATTGCGCAAATACATATCGTGGAAATTTATTTTATTCGTGCAATTATTCGACCTGGAGAATATTACGAGAATATTAATCGATTCATAATTACGAGTATACATATATTCAACGTCGAGGCTAAACTTTATATACACGCGTTAGAATTTTAACGCGGAAGGGAACAATTCGCAAATATTCCGACTCGTAGTCAAACGTCACGACAAAATACATTATCTCATCGGTAATGCGTTTGTTTCCTCCGACAATATTTTTACGGGGTTATGCGAGTTGCAAAGCGACGAAAAAAAACCTGCTTGAAAATTCTTTATTATCATTTCACGTTTTCCCGAGGCTTTGGACATTTTTCCCAACAATGGAACTCGCGTAAACAATAATAACGAATTTTTATAAAGCTTTTAAAACTTCTATGGCCCTCGCGAGAGAAATCACATTATTGTACAAACTGTCATTGTACAAATCCAATGCGAGATACGTTTTAAAGGAAACATTTGTACGAAGCGTATTTCCATCAGGTTTATCATCATACATGGGACAATGCTTTAAAATTGAAAATCGACAGCTATTGTTTCTAATCTCAATCGTGCGAGATTATTCGATTTTTGAAATATGATTAACGTTCCAAAAATTGGTCATTAAATAACCATAGATAGATTTGAAAATAAAGGGAAGAATAGATGTGTTGTTTCCAATTCGAATTATATCGGCGAGTCGTTTTTCAACGTTTTATTTTTCATCGTCTAATTAACCATTATTATAATCATACATTATCGTGTAACATTCGCCGATATCTCGTTTCGACAGGAAACAAACGCAAATAAATAGACAGGAGATGTATACAGGATACGTTCAGTTTTTATTACGGATTATTACATATCTATCTTCGTATTTAACGATCAACGAATAATTTCGCAAAAAGTTCGATCATCTCCTATTTTCCACATGATTGGAGAGTTTGCAAGTAATTGCACTGTATCGAATTACGATGAAAAACAGTATTTACGTTATTGCATAGGTACTCTATCAAAGAGGGGGAGAAAAATAACGAAATACATTTACTAGATATTTCGATGAATATTACATGCATACGAAATTTCGAAACGTTTAACACACCTTATTTTCCATACCTTTTTATTTTACAATAACAACGTAACAACGCGAGCAAATAACCTCCAACGATCTTTCTTCTATAGTTTAAAAAAAAGAAAGATAAAAAAAAGAAAAGATAATTGAGAACGGTATCGTACAAATTTAAATCATTCTTTAAACGAGACACCATAATGTCCCCGTCGTTCTATATTTCTACGAAATTTTCTAAGATTACGTAAGGGATACCAACGGTCACAAAGAAATCTCTTCAACCTCTGATTTATCATTCTTATTCAAACTTCTTAATGGCCGTATTAATAGGTCACGAATCGCACAAAGGAGCAGTTTGGGCCGTAAAACGCTCTCGGATGCTACATCTCAACCTAATAGATCTTGCTTACCACTTTACATTGCCCCACGAGGCCGCGATACACCCCTATAAATTCACCCAATCATGAACTATTCTCCGTCCTACACTTTCCACCCCATAAAAACCGCGCTTTTATATTCCCTCCGCTTTTCTTTCTTCCCTTTTTTTTTTTTTTTTATTATACTTGTAACTAGCGACAAAATGAAACATATCACCATCAGGTTTTTTTGGAAAATATATAATCGTCAACTTCTCATCAGTGCCACACAAAAAGAGAACGGATAATACGAAACTTGTTGTTGGATTTTTATAATATCCTAAAATGGAAGGAAAATAATTTAAAATATTCTCGTCTCGAGATTAGCCTCGAAAGAATTCGATTCATATCGAGCATTCCATTGCATAACGCAATGTTTCCCAAAAACGTTTCGCGTTTTCATTGTCGAAAATGAAAGATTCGACGAAGAGCCGAGTCCCGCGTTGGTTGGTGGCCATCGCGAGGGGGGCCGTTGGTGCTCTGGAACGACGCATGAAAGAGACTCTCCCTCTGAATTATACAGCGGCCCATGAAAAATTCGCGCAATGAACGGCAGTCCAAGTTGCACGGGGCGCATAAGGAGATTCGCATTATCGTGCATATTGGATGAGCGGAAGGTCGGAGGGAGGAGATATGAAATTTTGATCACAAGTGTACGTGGGGCCCGGAATCGGAAGTTGTCCCGATCCCGCGGGTGGCCAAAGGGTCAATTGCCCGATTCCCAATTAACCCTTTGCAACGTGATTCTCACTCTCGATTCGATAACTCGAGAGGTGACTCTCGGATCGATGCGCCAATTCGACGATATTTATTTATGTTTGGTTTTTTTAAAATATCGCTTCACGATTCTTAATATATTTCTCTTTACAATCTTGTAAAAGGTAGAATATACCATCGAATGGTTAGACTTTTTTGTCTAAAATTATATCGTGATCGAACTACATTTAGAGTTTAAGTGGAGATGAGTTTGATTTTTCGTTATTAAATAACGAAGCTATTTCTATTCGTTAAGAAATTGACGATAGAGAGAAGGAAAATGAAGATGTAGTAAGAGAATGTGAAAAATTGTAAGGATTGTAAGGTTTGCTCTCAATAAAATAAAAAAGACATCGAACGACATTTTATCGTAATACTTGCCCTGACAGACCGTAGATGCATCTTGGTAATTACATTATTATTAAAATATCGCACAAAAGAACAATATAAACTTTAATATTCGACGAATTTTCTTTCTTTATACGTAAAGATAAAGATAAAATATTAAAATATACAAGTTTTACACGTTAATTTATGTTTGAAATCATTTTAAGTTAGCTAAGAATGAGTGCGGTCTCGAGTTGTTGATTCGCCCGAGCTTTGTCACGATAATGATCTTCGATGGCCGTCGAAACATTGAAAAAAATAAAAAAAAAAAGAAAGAAAAAGAAGAAGAAAAATATGTATCTTTATCCTGATTTATGCAAACACGAAAAACGCGTCTTCCTCTGTATTCCACGGGAACGAGAATACAATAGAATATTCTATCAACCCTTCCCTCCCTCCTCCCTCGAAACGACCGTAATATCATCGTTTCCTCGGAAACATGATGTTTCGAAAATTACGTCCGTAGCAACCGTAATATCTCGAACCGCGTGGAAAAAAGAAGAAAGAAAGAAAGAAAGCAAGTAAGAGTTCGTTTGGAGCCGAAACCCGGTACGACACTTAATAGCGGAAATCAACAACGACGTCTATCCGCCAGAGACACGGTTGAAACGAATAAAATAAAATGTATCCACGGTTACATAACCCTGGTGTTCCCCTTTTCTGTTTTCAGGCCGCTGCTCAAGCAGATAAAGAACTCGGCCGAGTCGCACATTGTATTGGATTGCTCCACGGAGAGGATTTACGACGTGTTGAAGCAGGCACAGCAAATAGGGATGATGAGCGACTATCACAGCTACCTCATCACCTCTCTGGTGAGTCCTTTAATTAAATGAGAATGCAATTAATGTCTGGCTCCGGTGTCACGTACGCTTTTCTCCCAACAACTGGAAAATCAACCGCTATTACCACCCACCCATCCACCCACCCACCCCCGAAATTGGAACTGTCACGCGGGCTACGCGTATAAACTAATTTTCCCGAGGTCGTTTACCGTCGCTCGAATTTTCCTCGTGATTTTCCACGGGGGCGGCGGCGTTCGTGATTGGAATCGATAAACGACGGTGAAGGGGAGGAGGAAGGTGGGCGAGGAAAGTTATAAGGGGAAGGAGTCGACGTATATCCAAGAGCGGAAGATTCGAGTCGAATCGATCGTGGAAATGTTCCAGCAGAACTTTTACACCCTCCTGATTCCTGATCCCTTGTTTAACGCAACTTTGTGGCAGCCGCGCGATAAACGTGCTCGCGTTTTGTCAATCCTGAATTACTACGGCTTCTTCTTTCACAATTGAGAAAAATGAGAGAGCGTGGACACGCGGAAAGAGAGAGAAAAAGATGAATTGTGCTTTCTACCTGTACACGTTTTCGTTTTAGCAAGCTTCGCGATGTTTCATTAGAAATTTCGTTCTCACGGGTAAAAAAAAATCTCGCCTAGCTTCCCCCTCGTTCGAAAACATGCAATATGTAATTTCGCCAATAATTCTAATCGATTTCTCGAAAAGTATGAAATGATTTTAAATTCGACGTGGAATTTTTTCTATTCATATCTTCGTTCGAACCTGTTCGAAAAAGTCCATTCGACATGGAACGAACACTGCTTAACACATCGGAATAATTACCATTACCGTAACACTACTGATGTCTCGTTTCCTGTCGGCGCTAATCCTCAAAAGATCTCTCTCTCTCTCTAATTTTCCTGAAAACCAACTATCAGAGGGATCGTTGCAGTAATCACAGACTTCTCGCTGCTACTTAACGCTCCTCCTCCCTTTCGTTTCACTTCCCCTTACACATTGACTGGCCGAGAAGAAAAAAAAGAAAAATATAAAATTGACGTATACGTTTTCCCCTCCCCGTTTCCTTAGAGACTTAACAAACAAACAAAAGAAATTGAGGGAGGCGAACCGCCTGCATTTTTCCACAATTTTAAGAATTTCGAAAGAGCGAAACGGTCGTGTTGCGCAAGTGATCGCGGGTGTGTTTACACGGAACACGATTCCCTCGTTCGATTTCCTCGATCACGTTCCTGCATTAATGCACGTGAGAGACCTATCCTCTTTGCAGTTGCTCGAGAGAAAGGGAATATCCCGAAGGTTTCTCCGGTAGTTTGCACGGGTTTCTAGTTGACTCGGATTGTACGGAAGGGAAAATTGTACGCGAGGAGTGAAACGATCGGTACGTGTTGGCCAAGAGAGATGGCTGGAGGCAGAGCGCCGATCCTATATCGATATTCTTTCTTTCGCAACTTTTCTCGCTCCCAATGGCGCGTAACTGAGAGGCAACGGGAATAAAATTTTCCAGAGATGGATGACGCGTCGAATCGACATACCGTGTCGCGAGATTCTTCTACATTTCCCTAGTTTGCGAGATAGGAATCGTATAGGAATCTTTCTACTTTCTTGCCGATCAAAGTTTTTCTCCAGATTTCGCTCCCTTTTCAAAATCATCCTCGCTCCTTTGTTTCGTCCTCCCTCGAATATTTACAGACCGTGATATTCTCGAGAAATCGCAAGATTCGTAATTTTTTCGAATCGTTTATCTCGTTAGATCGATTAGAATCGAAAAAATAATATTATATATATATATATATTTCGAACGACACACGTATATAAGTTAATCAACTTGTTCAACTAAATAAAATAACGCATTGTGACAAATTGAGAATCGCGAGAGAACATTTTACAGAGATCCCTTCGACAAAAAGATACTGTTATAAGTCGGGTTCACTGAATTACTTCATCTTCCGTAATTACCGGTGAAAAGTGCGGTTGCTCGACCAGCCCTATCTTTAAATCGAGAGGAGAAGACGAGGAAACACGCGTGTAAAAGTGCGATCAACGATTTATGGTAGAACATAACGAAACTCATCAATTCTTACGAAACGATATCATCATACGCGATCTCGCGTACTTAATAGTTTCTATCTCGTTTTAAGCCGGCATTCATCGTCGCGTTATCATCCTTTGATTACATCCTATCGTTCCTTAATTGTCCAGTATCGAGTTGACTGATATTAAACGCAGCGGAATCGAAAGGAAACGCTTAATTGGATAAGAGACACGTTCGAATTCGATCATCCGAACGATCTCTTCTGTGTATCCCTTCTCCTTTCCCCTTCACTTTCGCCGTCACATTCGTGTAATGCCGCGCTCACATCGATCACAGTGCAACGCGAAACTTTCGCTGCTTTCGTCGAATCGATCGCAGTGTCAAAAATCAAAGAGGATCTCAATCGATAATGGACATATCGTACGAAAAACAATTGCAAAAAAAAAAAAAAACAATGACACGAAATTTACAAACGGTTATCGAAAATTCTTACATTGCGAACGTAACGTAAGAGGAAAACTTGGAAAACTTTTTCCTTTTTGAAACAACGTTCAGTCACGTCTGTCTCGTTTCTCGCGACAAGGCGGAGAAGACCTCGTGAAAAATTATCGGCGCTTGCAGTGTGGACGCGGCATAAGACGCGGAAAATAAGTCGTGGTTAGTTTCAGCAGCTATTTCCTTTTCCTGCGCCGTTCTCCAGAAGTATTTAGTAGAGCTTGAAATAACAGGTTGCGCGTCGAAAAACAGGCGGCGCAGATTGTTCGCCTTGTGGCTTATAATTATAAATTACTCGTAATACAGGGGGCAATTTGTGGCTCTCCCCGTCTCCCCCGACGAGGTTGGGGATCGCAATTATTCGGTGGATGCCTTTAGAAAATGATTCACGCCGCGATCAGAAATGAGGGATAAAAGAGTCGGCGGCGGGAGGAGAGAGTCTCCAACCTCCGCCAAGCCACACCACCACGTCCAGGAATTATTTCTCCCGATGCGGTTAGTTTCTCGCGGGTCGCTCGTTGTAATTGGAAAATTCGCTCGCTCAAGGGTATTTCTTCTTCGTGCCGCGCGCATTTATCAGCCTCGCTCCATAAATAACTCTGTTCCTTGCGTTACGCTAAATGAAGACGGATATCTTGTTTATCCGGCCTGCGTGCCAAATGATTTCGATGCATCCTCGAAGGCCATCGATCGAGGGATCGGATTGGATCTTCTCGAGGGAAGAACCGCAGAGATGAGACGAGTTCTCTGTTGCGAAACGTTCGTGTTAATACAAGGATAATAATATTATCGCTTCGTCGATAATGGGTGTACAGAGTGGCTTGATTCTCCTTTCTGCTTCAAGTTTTTTTGTTTGTTTTTCCGTTAAGTATTTGTCACGTTATAAATAATTGTATGTTTTAATTGATAAGTGGATAGGGTGAGAAATTGTTTACAATTTATCTTGACGTTTTTAACGGTTCAAAAATATCGTTTTCGCTCACCTTTATCCAATTCACCGTGAAAAACGCTTAGCCAAGGGAGAAGAGATTTTCTGGGCTTTCGTCGTAGTCGAGGGTGAGAGCCGTCCCGAAGTAATTAGCAATTTATCGTTGTCCACGGTTTCTTCGGGGGTTCTTCGAGGTATCGCTGACCCAGTTGAATAATCGCCGATGTATATAAGTCGTCTCGCTGAGTTATAAGAATCGGCAAATTATGTTTATCCGTGCCTGCCGCTGATTTTATGGCTTTAATTGCAATTAATATCGCGTGAATATTCCCCTCGTTTAATTACTCTCGTCACCGGTCATTTTCAGAACCGGTAATTGCAGATGACATCGAACTTGAAAACAAGCAAAGAGGTATATAATTATTTTATACCTCTCGAAAGTTGTTCTCCGTTAATATATAATTTTGTCGTTCTCTCTCCAAGCTTTTCTTTTCTTCCTCAATTTTTCTTCAAAAGTTAAATTGCAAAATTTTTTAATTCTTTTTTTTATATCGATCCTCCGTTTTATTTCGTCCTATTTTCATTCACAGGCTATTGGCATTTTGAAGATAAGATAATTAACAATGTTAATTAAAAGTTGCGAGGGTATATAATCGATTCGATACGTTTGACAGGACACTTTAAAGATCGCGCAAACATTATATAGAAAATTTTATCAACGACTTATAATATCAGAGGTTGTTAATTATTTGAATTCATTAAAACGTGCAAACTAGAAACTTGTTAAACATTGAATGCCCTTTCGAACTTCCTTTGCGGCTTATTAATAAATTACTAATAACGCTGTCAGAACTTACTAAACATTAATGAATACCAACTACGTAGTCGTTAAATAATTAACTGTTGATGATCAATTAGAACGAATCATAATAAATGTTAAAATTTCTGGAACATAATGACAAACGTTCGATAGAAATAAACATCTACGAATTTCCATTTATCTTGAATCACAACTTTTACTAAAATCTTAATCTTATTCATAATCTTTTTTTCCATCGGGAAATTAAAACTTTTTTTCTTCCTCTACATTCTTTGCATCTTCCACCTGCTTACCCGATAATTATATCCTCGACACGCGTTCGAAATAGCGACTTCTTCTTCTTCTTCTTC